GTTGGTGCACCATGGGAGAGGATAGCCATTGACGTTGCAGGGCCGTTTCCGGAAAGTGAAAGTGGTAACAAGTATTTCATGGTTGTGATGGATTACTTTACTAAGTGGCCAGAAGTCTTCGCCATTCCAAATCAAGAAGCTTCAACAGTTGCAGATAAACTAGTTCATGAAGTCTTCTGTCGTTTTGGAGTACCTTTAGAGATTCACAGCGATCAAGGAAGGAATTTTGAGTCTCAAATATTCCAGGAAACTTGCCGAGTTATGGGTACTCAGAAAACACGAACAACTTCTTACCACCCACAATCTGATGGAATGGTAGAAAGATTTAATCAGACATTGGAGAGGTACCTAGCAAAAGTTGTGGAAAAACGGCAACGAGACTGGGACAGGCATATACAACCGTTTTTGTTGTCATATCGAAGCGCTGTTCACGAAAGTACATCAGTGACACCAGCTTTCGCAAACTTTGGGAGAGAATTGCGGCTGCCTGCAGACCTGATCACCGGAATACCACCTGATGCCCCACGCAGTATAACCGATTATGCAAATGACTTGCGGAACAAAATGAATGACATTTATGAGCACGTCAGACAGACGGGCCAGCAAACGTCTGAGAAGATGAAAACACGGTATGACCGCAAAATGAACAACGAGGGGTTTGATGAAGGTTCACTAGTGTGGTTACACAATCCAGTTCGCAGCAAAGGGAAATCTCCTAAGCTTCAAGCTAAATGGGACGGACCGTACCGGATTGTGACAAGGATCAATGATGTAACCTACCGCATACAGAAAGGTGCCAGAGGTACTCCTAAGATTGTCCATGTGGATCGACTGGCGCGTTATTATGGGGCCAATAATGCTCGGGACGAGCATGTCTTAGGAGGGGGCAGTGTTGCGCACCACTATTAATGTCTTGTACATGGCAACACTAGTTACACTAGCGCCCCCTAGTGTCGAGTAAATGAAAGTGTTGCGCGCCACTATTAACGTCTTGTACATGGCAACACTAGTTACACTAGCGCCCTCTAGTGTCGAGTAGCAGAACTAGGAGAGTCGAGATCCTTCCAGAAATTTCGGGACCGATATGTACTCGAACATTCTAGATGTCGCTACAGTAGAAGGTTCTGGAAACTATCTGAGGCCCTATATAAGGCCGGTATAGACCACGACCGGGGCAGTATTGAATTGGCGATACAAGAGATTACTTCGAAGCGAAATAACGGCGAACTGTGTTTTATTATTAGTGTAATTTTAGATTGTAATTAGTTTTGTGTAATTAAAGTGTCAATTTTGGTAATTCAATCGGCAGTTTTTAATTGTCTCGAATCCCAAGCTCGTAACACTACCTTCAAAGACCGACGGAATACGAGACTTGTCAGGAATTAATATACGAGTATATGAGTAGGTATGTCATGTTTGGTAGGATAGATCTATTGGGTAGATCCTTGGAACGAAAGAAAAGGGGCCGCGCTGATGCAACTTCACCCACGTTTATAGTCCACGCTACAGCTCTGATAGTAAAATGTTATTTAAAAAAAGTCCCGCTGGGTTTCTTGCTGGTTCTTCCAAGGACAGGGGTTTTTTTTGAACCACTGATAATTAAACAAAAGAGTAACTTTCAATAAATATTATTTATAATCTATATTGAATAAAAAGTTTCTGTTTCTGTAGAATTATGAATAATACACGTGTCAGGTACTCATCCGAACAACGTACGATAATCTACGAACACTGAGTTTCGGCGCCGTCGAAGGTTCGGTAGATTTTTTGCCGAAACCATGTACCGAAACTAGATTTTTTTGCCGAAACTTGCCGAAACCGAAACCGAATCTTAGATCGGTCACTAGTGTCAGGATCGTGCCAAATGGAAGTCCATCTCGGTGACTGGCGTGAGTGTTTATATATATATATATATATATATATATATATATACCTATATAACCAAACCACAAATATAAAAGTAAAAAAATTTAAAAATGCGCTAAAAATTATAGAGCAAACCACTGACACATAGTTTTGTGTATTAATATAATACTCTAGAAACTGATAAACTTTTATTAAAAACCAATTTTTCAATTAAATGACATTGTGTAACTAAAAACTTTACCTAAGTGTTAACTAGCGACATCTGGTCAGCAGAAAATTATTAGCCCTCATTATAAAATACTTTGACCTCTGCTTGCGTCATACACTGGGCACTATAATCCTGTCCTGCGCCGATGGCCATAGATAAATATATATGTAGCAAGCTGCCGATGGCTAGTAATATGTAAATACGCCACTGTCCAAAAGCAAGTCTTATCCATGAAGTTATAGTCTTTATCTATTACTTCATGGTCTTATCCGACACTATTCCGATTATATTCCGGACGTCCGGTTTCCGAAAAGGCTTTAGTACCATAGACCACATATATACCCTGCGGCAGATTGTACAGAAGACAGAGGAGTATAATCTGCCACTTTGCCTTGTGTATGTGGACTATGAGAAAGCCTTTGATTCCATCGAAATTTGGGCAGTGCTGCAGTCCCTTCAGCGGTGCCAAGTCGACTGTCGGTATATCGAAGTGCTGAAGTGTTTGTACAGTATGGCTACGATGGTCCACCTGATGGTAAGTGTTTGCTGTGGCCCATAGATATCTACATCTATCCTCGTTTGCGAATCAAAATGCAGACTCGTTTTCACCCGTGAGGACTAAGATGGAATGCCTCTTTTCCAGTAAAAAGGGTCTCCGAACTGGACTAAACTGGAGGACCTAAGCACTATGCTCAATGACCTCAAGAGTACCTCCCAACGGATAGGTCTTAAGATGAACATGAGCAAAATAAAAATCATGTATGACGTCCATGTCACACCTATGCCGGTAGTTGTTGGGAGCACTAAGCTAAAAGTTGTTGACGAGTATGATTACCTGGGACAAATAGGTAAGTCCAACTTCGACCGAGAGGTCAGTCGACAGACTCAACTCGGCTGGGCAGCGTTTGGGAAATTACGGCACATCTTCTCGTCAGGTATACCTCAAAACTTGAAAAACAGACTGTATAACTAGTGCGTGGTGCCAATGATGACCTACGGAACTGAGACGGGATCCTTCACTAATGGCCGTATGAGGAAGCTTAAGGAGTTATGGAGAGGACTATGCTCAGGGTTTCTCTACATGATAAAATTAGAAATGAGGATATCCGCAGTAGGACCTGAGTGATTGACATAGCCTAACGGATTAGTAAGCTAAAGTGGCAATAGACCGAATATATAGCTAGAAGAACCGACAAACTTTTTCCCCAAAAAAGTTTCTCGAGTGGCAGCCTCGTACCGGTAGACGAAGTGTAGGGCGAACCCCCACTAGATGGAGTGACGACGTGGTAAATCTTGCAGGAAGTCGATGGATGCAGGTAACTCAGGACCGTGCTTTGTGGCATTCATTGGGGGAGGCCTATGTACAGCAGTGGACTTGTGAAGGGCTGTAATGATGATGATGATGACTTATAACTTTATTGTTAAAAATCGATTCCATATCAAAACTTTAAGGATGTTACCACACCAATCGATAGATCTATTGTTTTAAATAATTAATATTTTTGAGATGTGCCTTTTAAAATACGTCTGCCAGTATATATATATATATACTCCAAATTCATAGGCTGAGGTGGGGGGGGGGGGTTTATAGATTACCTATAACTTCATGGCGATCAGACGACAATAAGGCTGGCTTTTCACTATGGGATACAGGGGGCAAAATATAATATGAAAATATCGCTCGGTCGATCGACAAAATATTTATAGCTTGAGATGTAATATATATTATAGCTTAGTGTAAACGGTTTCATATGAAATGTATGGTGAGCTATATTAATTTCTATCTCGAGATGTACTATATTATATTATATCCCATAGTGAAAATCGGGCTTAAGGCTCAAAAGGGCTAGATTTCAGAGATATAAAGCCAGTTAAAAAAACAGACGACAATGAACGTGTGATTATAATCGGTAGAATAGGGGTGTCCACTTTAAAATACATCGATGGTTTTTTTTGATGTAATGCATCGAGACTGTGCATCGATGTATCCCGATGCATCGGATAGAAACGTCGATGTTTTTTCAACATCGAGTACTTTTCGGACTTTAACAATTTATTATACACTAGCTCGCCAGGCAGACGTTCTGCTCTTTCCAACGACCCTTCCTATAAAAATCCTTAAATTCGCAATAAAAAATTTTGAGGGTCATTTAGCGGGATGTAAACTATCCTAACGTAATTTTTATATATAAAGACTAGCTGACCAGGCAGACGTTGTTCTGCCCTTTCCGACAACAATTTGCTTTCCTTAAAAAAAACTACTTTATTACTTTATTTACCAGACGAATTGAACTTGTACAGAAAAGATTGGATTTTCCTGAAAAACAACTATATTATTACGTTCTGTAAAGTGTGCACATTTACGACACAAATAAAATAAGAAATAATTTAAAGTTTTTATTCAAATTTCACCGCGACGAAACAGACAATTTTTTGTACGACAGTGCTGCCAACCAGCCAATGTCAATTTTTTGATTCCGCTTAAGGGATTGACATGATGTCAATCCCTTAAGCGGAATCAAAAAATTGCCCTGTTGACATCTGCCAACTCGCGCCACCAACAGGTTTAATATTCTAAATATAACTTCTAAATCAGAGCATATTTTAGTGGCTGATTTATAAATTATTATAATATCTATGTATTAATAGTAATAGGTATGTAACTTTATTATTATTGATTCGATGTTTTATGAAAATACATCGATACATCGAGTATATCAATAACTTTCCAAAACATCGGATCGATTCGATGCATCGTATCATAAACATCTAGAATTTACTAGTTAGTCTGTGTTGATAGTGTTTTGGTGATTTGTGTGTTGGTTTTGTAGTTAGAAAAATAACATCTTCGGACGTAAAATTAATTTCATATTATGTAGATAATATAGAGAATTTTAAAGTGGAAGTGTGGTATAGTAAACGAAAAATGTCGACAGTTCTTTTAGCAGTTGTTGCTGTAATTTTGTGCATTCTTTTCCGAATATTAAACGTTAACAGCCAACCACATAATCCCGTGATTTATGGCAGAGACAAAAATTTTATTGAAAATATATTATTTATTGTACCTTTTCTAAATGAACCGTAAGTAGTTTTTTCTAATATGTGCTAAGTGATTATTTGTTCTTTTGAGTCAAGGGTCCACGCCGGTAATTCGAATGAAATTAATTTTGTAACCAAACAAAATTAATGTTTGTTATAATGTTAATAAAATTTTGTATTTGTTTTTCCTTAAAACATGATAACGTTTAACACTTCTATACTAAGCATACGTGGCTGCTAATCCACCTTTGCTTGAATTCCAATATTCTCTTACATATAACGGGAATGTAATAAAGGCCTATGTATACCCAATAACTTCTTTATATTAAATGTCATTGAGACCACTTATACTTTTATCTAGAGGAAGCCTTTTTATTACATCAAATATTTTTGTTTTGCTATTATCAGTTCATTCTAGAAAATAAGCTTTATAATACAATTCGATACCGGGATAAAATTTTGCTTTCGGTCACCATCATAGAAAGTTGAGGAGTGGGACAGGTAGAGCAGAACACTACTTTCTTAAGCAATCCCCATCTAAATAGTAATAGTAGTGACAATAATGTTCACTGAGCGGGTGGAAGTTTTAATCTAGTAGCTCTAGTATGTATTTAAACATGTTTCTTTTTGTCAAATCATAACCTCACATTTTTGCCTAAGAGAAGAATGTGATCTTAGTAAAGAAAATTATAATTATGTAATTACATTGTACACTGATAATTGTTTTTTTTTATAGAATAAGTGTGTCCACCTGAAGGTAAGTGGGATGCTTTGGCTTAAAGTCCCTAACATTTATCCTCAATTACAAGTCAAAATGTAGATGTGTTATCACCCCTGAGAGCTAAGATGGAGTGCCTCATTTCTAGAAACTCAGCGGCATTAAGCTGCTGTTTCATGCTGATTTTCTGTGAGAGTGTAGGAAAATACAAATATGTAGGTGTATTAATTTTTAGTTAGCTGGGGGCTAAAATGTTATATTGATATGGTAAGTTGGGAAGATGAGAAATAGCCAAATGAATAGAATGTAAAAGACATTTGCATGTTACACAAGAAAGGTAAATGTAGAAGTGTTTAAAATATATAGTTTTGCATTGCTCCCTACTGCATATTATGTGCTGAACTTACATGCTACTAAGCAATCATGGGGACTACCAATGAATGTTGCAGTATGACTGTAGATCATTGCAGACCAAGCAGGATGGAGTAAAATGGAATAGTGACTTAACAGTGTGCTTCACTCAACTCAAGTCACAAGTTACATTTAAGTAGAATTACAGTGAAGCAAAGATATAGCAAAGTGAAGTTTTAGCGATTTATAGTCCTAGTGAAGTGAATCTCTAGTGAAGCAGTTTTAGCAGGGATGTTACGGATATGAAATTTCGGATCTGGATACACATACGGATATGATTAGATATTAGATATGATTTCATGCGGCAAAACGTTGGAATCTTGATTTTTAGGCGCTAGAAGAACATACCTACGTGCGTTGCACTTACGGCATGCAATTAGATATGGTTGTGTCGGCTGTTCCTAATAAGTTATTTGGTTAGTTGGTGATTCTGTCCATTGTGATTATTCCAATAGAAGAAGCATAGAGGAGTTCTATGGTGAAGGTGACTAGTGTATATTGTGATAAGCAGGTAGTAGAGCCCTGCTGCAGCTATATTAGTAGTATAGTTGTAGCACGAATGGGTCGGCTCGACCGGGGAAGGACCACGCTCTCACAGAATACCAGCGTAAAATAGCAGTTTAACACTGCTGTGTTTAGTATGGTGAGTATAGAGAACCGGAGACCCTTTTTACTGGAAAAGAGGCATTCCAACTTAGTCCTCACGGGTAGCAACACATCTGCATTTTGATTCGCAAACGAGGATAAATGTAGATGTCTATAGGTCACAGTAACCGCTTACCATCAGGTGGACTGTGTGCTCGTTTGTCACCCTATTCCTATAAAAAGAAAGCAGTGTTGCTGTCAGTTTGCATACCTAATCTATTATGATGTTATCATATAACATGTGTTATCAGTGTGATGTGGCTGATATGTTTTACGGTATGGCCAAATTGTAATCACGCTACACTAAATGTGTAGTTTGTTATGCTGTTTTATAATTGAGCAAGCAAGCAAATTGACCAACCACTCATACATTATATTATTTTTACAATTTACTCCAAAAAATTTACGCCAAATTATTTGATTAATGGTATTACATACTTAGACATAGTTGATATCAGTCTCCATTCTTAAGCACATTATTTTTAGCCTACTTTTATGCACTTGAATAATGTTTAATCTTCTCCATTTAAATAGAATCTGTAAGAGATAGGTTGCAAAAGGAAATACATGATATATATATATGAAATATATATATATCATGTGAAATATATATATGTGTATATATATGTGAAATATAGATGTGAGCATAATTGAAAATTGAAAATAGAAAAGACTGCCAGAATATTGTAGCTTAACTTTTCCTGAGACCTTTCTTAATTCTATCTAACAAGATGTTCCATGTTAGTCCTCGGGAGGGATAATTCATCTTCATTTTCATTTTTAATCGATGACATTGTTTTAGGAAATTTGAATTTTCATATATGTAGTTTGGTGTCAATGAGACAAGTTTCTTGTCTTATCGGAACAACTCTCTTGATAGTTATTTTCCTTGAAGTTTACATTAAAATCTTAAAATTTTTCCGATATTGTACTAATAATTCAAGACAACCAGGCAACAGTTCGTGTTATATATTTTTAAGGATTGACAGTCAGACTTTTTCATTTCCTTAAAACTAAATTCAGCTCTCTGCTACCAAAGCTTCCATTTTCAACCTTTCAGCTATAACTATTTCAGGAAGCAATTGTTGTCCAAAATTTATAATTTTGACTACATTAATTTCAAGTGAATAATTCTTAGTACTTGCATATAATTTTTTATGAACACTTCACCCAGTCTATTGTGTAGTCTTCAATTCTGAGGGGGATAGGTGTCTAATTTCAGGTGAATTATGAGAGAAAATGACTGTCTTTACAAAATTGAATAATAATCCCTGTTTAGGCCCAAACATGGTCATTTGAAATGCCATCCAATTACGATTGACTGGGCTAATCGCCCGATGGTGACAGCGATTTCGTGCGACCAGTTTTGGTTTTACCAGGTCTAGATTTTCAGTATTTGTGCGCGTTACTTCACTACTTAAATTGTGTTTCGTGAAGACCGTCTCGGATTCGGTTGTCTAAGCTTTTCTGTGAGTCTACTCGAGCCGCGTGGTTACCTCTGATCGTGTCGATTTTGTTAGCAAATTTATGCAACGACGAGGAATTGTGTATTCTAGAACATTAGACGCCGAGTTGACTAATTGTTGGGATATTAATGTTTAATTGTACCGTCGCGTTAAGTGCCTAAAAAGGTCGCGTTCGGTTCTCGAAATAATTTGTTGCTGAGTGAACGGAAGTGAACTTTGACCCACCGCTCATCAGTCGTGCCGCGTGTTACGTTTTTTATTATAATTATAGTGGTATAGTGGTTGCATGCTTAAGTGCATTCTGACAATATTAATTCGCGTTAACGAGTTGCTTTGTGTCATCAGATTTAACTCGGAGGTATTTTCCTGTGTCGGTTAAAACAGCTAAACTTTGTGACCCGCGAGAACCAGCGTTCGTATTAGATTATAGATTTGTGCTAATGGACGCTAGACTTTGAGTGACACCGAGTGACGCCGCTGGAGTGATACCACATAGGGTGGCGGTGCTGGAGTCAGGGTTGCTGCTGATTAAAAGGCTAATTCAGGTTAAACATATATACACTTCTCACACACTACTTACATGCACCTACTTAACGCCTGAACGAGCCTTGTGGTCCTTCTTCGCCTCTGAACAGGTACGTACTATTTATTTGCCTAGCTTTATCACTGTCGTGTAGGTCAACTCTCCATAAGGCCAATTGGGCCCGAACTCTCTGGTTGCTCGTCGAGTGTATTACTGATGGGCCCTAATACAGTCGACTTCTGTCTGGGCAACTGAGAGCCGTATCAATCCCAAAAAATTAAATTAAAAATTGCTATGCACAAATTTGTCATGTTGATTGGTGAAAAGAAATTTTACAATGCTAATAAATGCTATTTATGACGTGTAATGTTCCTCGTGTGGCCTAGTAGCCAGAGTATCTTAATATGTTTCTCTGTTGGTTGATAAGTTGATATACTTGGTTGTTGTAGTTTCCACACAAAAAAAAAAAAAAATATTCGTGTACATTGTAAGTGGTGAATTTCTCAAAAATTTACAAAAGGTCTTCTTTTTTCTTTTTGAATAATATGCAGCCACTGTTGGATAATTCCAAGACCTAAAGGCCATTCATCAAATGCACCAAAAAATTAATGTTATTGATAGATTTGCCAACTCATGCTAGGCAGGCCAATTAGTGAGAGCAATCCATAAGTAACCAGTCTGTAGGTTTTGTTGTATATTTTACCTATTTCGGCTTCAGGTGGCAGAAGGAGAAGTTGCGTTTTTAACAGTAGTGGTGAGAAACGACCACGCAGCCCACCTTATTATTTTAAATGAATGTAGTGACCTCTGGACATCTACATTAACCTTTAATTAAGAATCAAAATGCAGATTGCTTGTCAGCCCAATGAGTCTCTGGTCTCGTCACTCATCATACAAAATAGCAGCATTATTTTTATGCTGCTATTTTACAGGGGTATTCTTTGCGAGAGTAGTTTTTATTTATGTAAACCGTTTTTATGCTGGAGCGTGTGTTACCGTACTTTAATGTTTATTATTGTACTGTATTTCGGTCTGCATAATATACAGTTGAAGAAATATATGTATATACAACGTACTATATATATAGTATATATGTATTAATGATAATGTCCTCCAGACCGAATTTCGGTCACGGCGGCCAGCCTCAACGGAGGCTAGCCATCTGCGCAGGACAGGATTATAGTGCCCAAGTGTATGCGCAAGCACAGGTGCACTCTCTATTCCCTCACTCTCATAGTCCGATGGAACGGTAAACCTACACGACCGGAGAGAGATCAGG